CCCACCAACCTACAGAAAGAGTGTATTTGTTTAATGCTATTTTCTTTATATCCTCTAGAAAATAATGCTATATTTCTCTATATCCTGCATCATTTTGCTATTGATTTTTCAATTGAACCTTGCTCTATATTATATGCACCATATTTATTTTGTTTGGTCAGGATCGCCTGGGTTTGGCAGAGATGGATTCGGCAGAGATGGATTCGGCAGGGAAGCTTGTATTCCTCGCCACTGATGGAGATCATCTGCAGTTCACCCGAGAGTGGTTTAATGACAATTTACTTCCCTACCTACGCTAAATACAGTAACAGGCTTATTCCTAATGAGGGAGTTTACACACACACACACACACACACACACACACACACACACAGTCCAGTGTCAGCTGACTTTAGCATGCTCCTCACTAGTGCCTCTGAGTCTTATACAATATCTTATATAGAAATGAAGCCAGTCTTGTTTGTTTTATTGCACTGATCTGATTTTTATTTGATTTATGTAATCAGAAAAAAATCATTCCTTATTGTTTCACTTGAAATTTTAATTTGTTCTAATTGTGAACTATTTTGTCACAGTTCATTTTTGTCACAGAATAAAACTTTGAATTTTACAAACCATGTGGCCTATGTGGTATTTATTTGTGAATCACATAAAGAGTGTACCGTTACACTAACTATTTAGATAATAATGTTAAAATTAGGGCTGTCAATGTAACATGTTAATTTAATTAATTAGTTATGAAATAACACACACACACACACACACACACACACACACACAGTCCAGTGTCAGCTGACTTTAGCATGCTCCTAACTAGTGCCTCTGAGTCTTATACAATATCTTATATAGAAATGAAGCCAGTCTTGTTTGTTTTATTGCACTGATCTGATTTTTATTTGATTTATGTAATCAGAAAAAAATCATTCCTTATTGTTTCACTTGAAATTTTAATTTGTTCTAATTGTGAACTATTTTGTCACAGTTCATTTTTGTCACAGAATAAAACTTTGAATTTTACAAACCATGTGGCCTATGTGGTATTTATTTGTGAATCACATAAAGAGTGTACCGTTACACTAACTATTTAGATAATAATGTTAAAATTAGGGCTGTCAATGTAACATGTTAATTTAATTAATTAGTTATGAAATAATAATGCGATTAAAATATTTTAACGCACCCACCCCAGACCTGTAGGTCATGTTACATTTCATACAGTTGACTGTTGACAAACATGATGCACGGCAGCAACTCACTGCGTGATGTAGTCCATAAATGCAGTTCCCTTTCGAATGGTCTCTCCCGTTGCGTTGCTGACACTTATGGGGAAACTCCTATTTACACTGATACTCTCCCCAGTGGGTTATTACGAGCCAATGGAGAGCGAACTGATTTGCATTCTCACTAGGCTGTGGAGAATCTTGGCTTAGAATGGTCGGCTCCATAAGAACCTGCCCGCATCCGCTTAGACGAATGATGCCTGCTGGGCTGTCGTCAACGAATCTCCTGCTAGAGACTGGTGCCATTTTCCCCAGAAGTTCACAATGAACTCACCAAGGTGTGGTGCACCCCTACTTGGCGCATATCCACTTTTCTAATTCTGCCACAGCTAATTCTTTACAGCTGCTACTTCCTTGTTCCCAAGAAAAATGGCGGGCCCAGGCATCTGAATTCCTTTAGACTCGTGACTTCACGTCCCCCCAGGGCTTTTCAGAGGATGCTCGGCCTCATGTCAGCCACTTCCTCTGTGATTCCTGCTTCACATGCAGCCCCTCCAGTATTGGCTCAAAGCCCATGTCCCATCCCACACTTGGCGCCTGGGATCTTTTCATCTCAAGGTAACCCACCACTGCATCAGAGCTGTGGCCCCTTGGAAAACCCCTCGCCTGTTTCTATCAGGTATCCCAGTGGGACTGACCTCCAGAAGGAAGGTGGTCACAACAGATGCCTCGAACTCGAGTTGGGGAGCTCCTGTATGAGGGCAGACCAGCGTTCGGCTCCTGGTCAAACCTGGAGCAATGCTTACACATCAACTGCCTTTCTAGCCCTAAAAACCTTCCTGCTGTCCTTAAAGGGTTAGTTCACCCAAAAATGAAAATTAGCCTGTGTGCACGCATTCATAATAAAACATGCTTCACACGGCTTCGGGGGGGTGAATAAAGGCCTTCTGTAGTGAATCCATGCATTTTTGTAAGAAAAATATCCATATTTCAAACGTAATAAACACTTTTCTCTCACTTCCGTTATCTGTCATACGCGGAAGGCGTTCCGGCAGATGACGCAGCACGTATGCGCAGCGCGCGCCTCTGAGATATGCTAATCTCGCGAGTTTGTTTATAGGAGCAAAGGAAGCAAAGTTTCCTTACTTTAGCAAAGGAAAACCAGTCTCCTCTTGGTTTATATAGAAATCCTCCGACATGTTTCTTTACAAATCCTTGGTTTGTACTTGTAATTCGTGACCGGCGTTTTGTTTTGTTCTCTCTCCGCATTCGTCACTAATCACGCAACGCCGACGTACTACGCCATCCGCCGGAACGGCTTTTGCGTATGACAGAAACCGGAAGTGAGAGAAAAGTGTTTATTACATTTGAAATATGGATATTTTTCTTACAAAAACACATGGATTTGCTGGAATCTTTATCCGATGTAAGTGTCGATGCATTATAATGTTTTTGTAAGCCTATCCAGTTGAAGCCACTAGATGCGGTGCTGCTGCGTTGTTCATTAAAAATATTGCGGAAAAAGAGAACATCAATGCCGAGAAGATCTTGTTTACGTCAAAACTGAAACCAAGCCGTTCACACAGAACGAATATTTCGCGCATTTTCTAGAGGGACATCTATCACCGTTGCACTTGCGTCTAGCACAAGAGAGCCTCATGTTTTTTTCCCCCATCCCACTGCAACTCGTGTTTTTAAATGAAAAATGTACTCTGTGTGATTGGCTTTCCGCCCTTTGTATTAAACTATGCATACATACATGATGCTGTTTTGTTTATAGTTGTTTCAGCAACTTAATTATAATTGGTTTATAAACATTATTTTAAACATTATGCACTTTTTTTCACAGATAGTCGTTATCTTATGCTTTGAATAAACGTGCATTAGTAATATTTTGCTCGATGCACCCTCTTGTGGCCTCAGAAGAGAAGCCAAAAGCTATTCTTCACCATAACTGAAATTATGCATTTTAAATTTGAATATAATTCGAATTTTGATAATATTTAAGTACAAAATTCGAATTTAGTTTTTCAGCCATTTTGACAGCCCTAATGCAGAGTGGTAAGTTAAGTGTGTCTCGCTCTCACGCTCTTTCTTATAATATTTGTGTAGTTTTCTGAGCACAAACCCATTGAAAATGAAGCTGATTACTGTATGGAATGGAAGGATGCCAGATGGAAGGGTAGTTTGAGATATATGCCATAACCACCACCACAGCTGTTAAATTTATTTGGTCATCTTTATTTCCTACAGATACAAAAGCAACAGTTATTCTTTTTCCTGTTGGATTTTAATATTCTTCCAGTACTTGGTATTGTGGCCATCTCCCCTTCATCTGTTCTTCATTATTTTTGCAAGCCTTCTTGCTGTTGGCTGAGTAGAAGTCAGATGTTAATTTCATTTACTCTAATTAATAAATGCAACAGTTTGGATTAGAGAAAATTTAATTATGTGAAAAGAGCATTAAACTATGTGGAAAAAGCTGCTGTATTAGCTTTATTTATAGCTTTATTTAATATGTCAAATGCTTATAAATTAATGTAACCTACACTCATGAACCTTTTATGCTTAAAGCTTAACCTTGATAGAATTACGTTTTTAAACTTCATTTTAGCTGCTTCTTTTTTTTCCCTTTTTCTTTTGCCCGTAGGATACCATGAAAATCAATATTACTTAAATAGCCTAATTTACTGTTCTGCCACTTTTTACCTTTGATATAACAGTGATTAAGAATTAAAGTTACGTATTGACTCGGAAGAATGTGGACTTTTTTTGTCGGGTGCTGTTGCCATGGTGAATCATAATTTCGGAGCTCCATTGATCATGGCTTTTCATAGTCATGGTGCACTCGCTAAACTCAAAGTCAACCTACTCGGAGTCGATTGAACTAACTCATGTCAGTTGTTCTGAACCCGAAAACTCAGAGATTCCCATCTCAGGGTAAGTCAACTCAGAGTTCAAGTTTCAAGTCACAGTTGACCCTATTTTAATAACTCCATCCCACAGGTAACGTACACAACCCTGGCGGCGACAATGGCGGAATCTGATATGCCTGCCGGCCAAGCATATTCAAGCAAAAGCCAACACAGATTAGTTGTGTGAAACAAAGCAAAATCAACGTAACTCACCTATCAAGAGGAAACAAAGCAACATCGGCGTCCGATTCCAGGCCTTTCCGCTCCTTGAGTTCTCTCTCCACCTCTGGAAAGCTGCTCCAATATTTACGCGGATCCTACATCTTGCCTGATCGTAACCCTTCTTTGTAATGTTTTGTTCCTCCGAAATTTCTCTGTTATATATATTATCTAACATCTCTCGCTATCTATAGTCGATCTGCTAATATTCGTCCTGTGCACTAGGGATGGGGAGTCGACTCCAAAAGAGTCGATTCCTCGACTCGGAATAGCCCTAGAGTCGGAGTCGACTCCAGCACTGGAATCGACTCTCGGTGTCGACTCTGAAATCGCTGATGTCTTCACTGATTCTCAAATCCCTATATAGTGCATGGCGGTTGAGTGCTATATATCAGCAAAGAGTGAACGAAATTAAAGGGGTTTCCTTTAATTCCTTTCCTTTCTCTTTGGAGTGTTACAAGCTCTTGGTGCATAAAGAAGATCTATAAAGTTGCAAAGACTAAAGTCTCAAATTCAAAGAGATATTCTTTATAAAAGTTAAGAGTCAACCACGCCTACCTAAAACGGCTCGTTCTAACACGCCCCCACAGAGGATCCGTTTGCAGTGCAGTTCGTGTGCGGTGCGTAGCCTATGCGGTGCAGAAGCAGCACGCGCTCAGTGTGCTTTATTTAGTGTGCTCAGTGTGCTATGATCCGCGGCTGTTTACCACCATTATTTTGATTTCAAATTCGAACGTTGTTACTAATTTTTTTCTCTTTCTCAGTCTCAACATAGTGATTATCTTTTCACACATACATATTCACGTGTAAGCGCAATATTATTAAATGCATTTTACTTCTGTACTGATTTATATATTAAGTTTATATATTAAGATGCTCAAGCAAGTGGCAAAGCATGTAAACACAGCCTACAGTCACAATTTTAAATTTTAACTTACCATTGACAGAAACAGCCGTCTCGTGCCTTTTTTTTTTTTTTTTGCATTTACATTACAAGTAACCCTGCTGGTCATAAAAAGAACTTTGTCTTCTAACTCCAC